TTTTTGTTTTTAATTTTTTTTATTAAATTTATTAATTATAAGTTTTTGTTTTAAAATTTTTTTTATTATAAGTTTTTGTTTTTAAATTTTTTTATAAGTTTTTGTTTTTATTTACTTTTTTTGCAAGTTAATGGAATATTTATCTAAAGCTCTATATTTCGATTACAATAAACAAGCAATAATATTATAATAATATAAATATATAAATAAAATTATAAATAAACGAGAGATACTGTACTCATAATACGAGACATAATGTGTGCTTTTTATTTAGCGACTCAAGTCGACACAAGCGTCATTCTGTCTCTTTTTTCAACATCTAGTGAGCAACAAAGATAGAATGACGCTTGTGTCGTTAAGGTTGTATGACCCCTTAGAAGAAAAAATGCCAAATTCTTCAAACTTTGTCAGGTGATGAGTATTATAATAATAAAGCATTGTGCCAAGTTTAAACAAGTTTGCGAGGCCCGTTCAAAAGTTATAACAATTTGAATTTAACATGAGCTCTTATGGGAATTCATCAAGTTTCACTGTTTTTTCAACTTCATTTAAGAAATTAATATTGAAGAAAATATGGCATCCTTTTAAAACTTTGCAGAAATATTAATAAACATCTTACAAACAAATTAGAACCAAAAAAATTATGACTTCGAGGATATTTTCTGAAATATTGAATAAAAACCAAACAGAGAACAGTCTCGCTTAGTCTCACTGAACTCGTAAGTACAGAGATCGGCAACAGCGCACTATGACGTCACATTAGAACCTCTCTCTCCGTCACTCTCCGTAAAGGATAACAAATACTACAGAGGTCCGTTACTTTTTCCAATAGAGCCTCCTGTGTATCGAAAGTGTGCTCTGAGCACGTGTAATATACAGACGCATCGTTTGAGGTTAGTTTTCGCTTGCGCTACGAAAATGCCGAAAGTAAAACGTTACATGTGGAAAGGAAAAGTTATCACTGAAAAAGTGTACAATCAACGGTTAGCACAGACAAATACTGGGAAACGTAATTTGAAGACACGAGTCAAAAACCACACCAGATTGTAACAATTCCATGGCACATGTAACGTTTTACTTTTGGCATTTTCGTAGCGCAAGCGAAAACTAACCTCAAACGTTGCGTCTGTATATTACACGTGCTCAGAGCACACACTTCGCGTTCACGCAGCTGATGTCGAGTGAGATCAATGCTACCAACTTACAAAAAATGCGACGTTGTCGCGATCAAAATACTTTTTTATGAGAGCTATTGTATTTAATTTATTAATAAATGACGTAAATAAATAACGTAATATAATTTCATTAGTATTTTTAAACAATAATTACTATGTTTTGTTACTTTTTAAAGATTTTCACACTTTCAGATTTTCGTTTGTGTCAGTTGCAAGTCAGGTACAGTCTTTCTAAAAATCATTAAAAGTGAAAGTTTGCATACGAGAAAATATGCATAAAAATGTCTCTATAGCTCTTAAAAACACAGGCAACCATTATTTTAATAAATTATTAATATAAATATTACTTTCCAGTAAAGAATATCGTCTTAAATATGTTAATTAGCTTTATGTTACGTTTCTTAAACTTTTGGCAGAGATCTTACGGGTCATACAACCTTAACTGGAAAGCATCTATTGTACAATAATGTTACAGATAGCAATTTTCAAGGAAATAATAATATAATGCAAATATTTACCTGTTTTACATTGTTAATAGAAACATCCATTTTCTTATAATGTTTATTATTAACACTCTAATTTTCGACACTTTTATAAAATATACGACGAAAATGTGTAGTAGAAAACGCACTGTCGTTTTAATATGTACACAATAACATAACAACATAACCTAACTGTATTGACCGCTACTTCAAAATGACATATGGCCTCAGCAGACTAGTGCGATAGTGTCGCGCGATATCCAATGAGCGTGCAACAATGAACAGAAAAGCTGTACGTTCTGCCGAAGCTCAATAGATGTAACTGGAAGTCACTAAAATTCCCCATGCGGATGCATATCATTGGTTAATCAATTTCCTTTGTAACTCAGTCGATAGCCAATAAGAGGACATATAAATGTAATATATCGTTTTTTCGCTTTTTGTTTAACACAACGATTAATGATTATTATACGCTATAAACCTTGCTTGATTAATAAGAAACTTATATACGGAAGCACATATCGAAGTATGTTGTAGTTATCGAGAACTAAGGTAACAAAGGTTCGGCCCCAGTGAAACGCATACTCCCTCGTCTTCGCCAACCGAAGGTTGGCAGCAGTCGGGAGAATAAAATCAAATAAGTATTTATTTATTCTTACTTAAGAAAATCTGCTTCAGAAAGCCGTTGAGACAAATCGACACCGCGCCACGCTTTTGATTTTCTATAAAATATAAACAAAAATTATTAAAATATTTTGCATTTTACTTTTTACAAATAACTTTCAAAATAAAAGCTCACATATCTTTCTAAAAACAACACTTGCACTTGAACTTGCACCTCTAAACAGTATTTGCTTTCGGAGAATCGCGACCTTCTTAACGCTACTACCGCACTGGGTTAGCGTGATCCAGTGCGGTGTTTGAGGGTTAATTATAGTCAAGCGATGGAAATCGAGGTTTCTTACTTGCGTAAAATATTACCACTTTTCTACCGAATGTAACGTAATCTTGCATGATCTCGACGTCCGTGGAATTGGTAAACACGTGCCAATGATATTCAATTAGGGAAAACATGTGCCGCATCTAAAGATTTTATAGTAGAAAGATTAAGTTGCAGCGCGTAGAATGACAGTGATATGTGTGAACACATTTATATTTTGTAAGGAATTCAATCATACCTCCTTGATCTTAAAGATAAGATTGAATAATTTCGTAAAACAGCCGACTACAATTATTATCGAAATCATGCACTCGACTGCGATATCAACGTCACCCCAAGTATCGAGCATACGTATTATCTGAGAGAGTGAAGCATCGCTATAAGAGATGTCAAAAAGGCCGTGATATTGGGATAATTGTGACGCCGCAATATTTTCCTATTGTGACGAATAGCTATCACTATTTAAGAGCCAAACATTAGCCAGAGAATCGGTAAATCGAAGATCTAAATTAGATACAATTGATTCTAGAAACGCCTTATATTTTTTTAAAATAAATGCTGATCAACTCTAAAAACGTACGCGCTCTCATTTAGCTGCGAGATCGAATACTTACCTCCGCTATAATACAGCTGACGTCTATTAACACTATCATACTCGGTATTAATATTCTCATGGTTCTGCTTTGATAGGGCCAGACGCCAATTTGAGACATGAAGGTCTTATTAACGCGATAATAACGCAGTACGATCGATTGCATGGTGAAGTTGCCGCTACGCTAGGAGACCGGCTACCGGTAATAAACTGATCGTCGAAGATGCGTCGTACACATACACAGGATGTATATCCTGTACACATGTACAGGATATGGTAATCAAGTTTGACGCGTCCGATATTCATAATGATATACATTGTCAGTTATTCATTCAGACACCCGCTTGTTTAGAGTATAGCCGCTTCGAGCCATGGAGCCTCGCGGCGTTATCGATTTGAGCGTACGAATGATTAGCGGTTTTCGATGTGACAGTTCAATTCGAGACCTCGACAAGAGAGCTAAGTTATTCCGTATTATCTTCTTTTTAAACGAAATTGAAAAAATTATAAGAATTTAAAAAGTGGACTGTGCATACACAATTTATTTCTCCAAAGCAGCAGCTACCAAGACCGCGAAAGCAGCAAAAAAATAATTTTCTGATCCTGATATAAAACTAGGGGAGAAGTAGAATTTTGCTTTAAGGGCACGTAGTAGAACTCTCTACGCGCGTACGCGTATATTTATATATATTATACACACACCCCTGATAAAAAAAAGTCTCAGAATATTTTTCATATATTATATTAATCAGAATTTCTATAAAAATTTTCAGACTTCCCCAAGAATGCTTAGAATTTTTTAGATTTGTTTATACAAATTGGAATGTTTTTCAAAAAAGCTCAGACAAAATAACAATAAAATATTTTAGACTTTTCCCGCTAACATATCTACAAATTTGAATAAATATGAGAAAATCTGTACAAATCAGAAATTTTCATACATACGGATATACTAAAATATTTCGAAAATTTTTATCCAATTATTTCTAAAAGTATCTGAGAAATTTTATATATTTTTTCAAAATTTTTCATAAGTCTCAATTCTTACAAAATTTCTGGAAAAATATTAGAAATTTTTCTTGTCCTAAGGTGTAAGAAATAATGCCTTCAAAAAATAAATATACATTGTATGTGTGTGGTGTGTGTGTGTGTGTGTGTGTGTGTGTGTGTGTCCTAAGATATAAGAAATAATAACGTTACAAGAAAAATAGACATAATAATCATTATTATTTCTTTGCTAGGAAGATACACAGAATTATAAAAATTTACATTTGAAACATGAAAGAAAAAACAAAAAGCATAGACATTTTTACCAAACAAATTTATAATATAGACTAACGTTAAATAAATTGTACACAAAATAAATGGGAAATTTTGTTTAAAAAGTCAATACATATTGAATTTGTAATATATTCTTCTTCTTGTGTAATGTCACATAAGAAAGGTGAATAATTACTCGTTATCAGTGTCTGTTTCATCTCTCCTTTGTTTGCGTAAGTCGTGATGCGTGTCTGCGAAATCCGCAACATTGCTGTCCATTGATTTTAAATTGATTGTTCTGCCGGTATTCATAGTCGGATCTTATTTCAAGACCGTCTTAAGTAATGTCTTAAGATGTTAATACGGCTCTGTGATTGGTCCATAACATCTTAAGATTGTACTTAAGACGGTCTTAAATATAAGGTCTGACTATGAATACCGGTCTATATCTATACATACAATGATTACACAAGAAAAAATTATATAGTCAGTGTTTAAAAGGATACAGTTACGCATACTATAAAACTACATAAACAAATTATCATTCTTAGATTTAAATAGT